GGGTGAAGCGGAATCGGCAGCTGCTTCTATTTGTGATCAGGACCTGAATATTAGTTAGTTAGTTTCTCTATAGTTTGGACGAGAAAACCGCTTAGGATTCTGTAGTAATCTTATAAAAATCTTACCAGTGCTCTAATCCTTGAACGTTTAAGTTTATTTCCGAGAACGGTGGAACGTATAACGCTACCACAGACGCCGACCACACAAATTACCACTTCGACATAAAGCCGGACGAATTGAAGGTCAGCGAGTCGCTCCATTCCTTGGATATTTCTGCAGAAACCGGTCCTATTGAGCGGTTCTGTCAACGGAACACTGCAAAAATCAATTTTGAACTGTTTGCGTTTCACCGCACATGACCAGCGTATTTCACCACTTTTCGCTTCGAAAGTAGAGAATCCAGTGCGCGGCACAAATGACCAAGTGGCGCTAGTGTGGTTATAATCCCTGCAAACGATAGAGAGTGTAAGGGCGTTAGGGGCGTGGAGGGCTTCCAAGCCACCCTTTTCATAACAATGATCTCTTTCCTCTTCTGCAACAATTAGCAGGGGAGACTGTTCTAAACTCCAATTCACGTATCTTCACACACATTTTGCGATCAGGGGCGGCAGTAATGTGGCATAAACTGGCAGTTTACAGGTAACCATCAGCTCGCGGTAAGGTCGACTGCCCAAAACGCCTATTCCAGGGACTTTATTAAGAAAGGTCGAGGTTAGGTGGTCGTTACCACGACCTGAGGTGAACATTGCTATCCTCCGTTGAAGTGCGACGTCATAACGTCGCACTTGAGTTCTCAACCACGAGGGTGGAGAGAGTGGGAGAGATGACGCGAAACGGAGAGACGCAGATAGTCGCCGTTCTATGCAGTGAAAAGTCCTCCAGAGGACTTTTCAAAGATGGCCATCTCTGTAGTGCGAGTTGGGGGACTTTTTCAACAAAACTATCCAAGTCCAGAAATGCTTAGATCACAGGTATGAGTATAGCGGGGAGACAAAAGTAAGTGGTAGGGTTGATAGGGCAGGGGAATCTTGGATCGAAATATGAAGTGGGCGTGGCCATCCATCCCATAGTTAAAGAGAAATTTCGGAAAAAGTGAAATATTTTCTAGTAAAACGGATAGAAGGCGAAAAATGCAAATACCATATAAAGATGTGCTATTAGAATATGAATTGATGTAGCCGGTTACCCGATTCGACTTGGGGGATTTGAGGGGGAAAAATTAGAAAAAAATCAAAATTTTCCTTGCATAACTGTGTAGATCAAGAGATCGAGTAAGTCAGTATCATTCGATATGTCCTAGGGCCGAGATGAATCGAAGTGGCTGGTGAGCGGAATGTTGGGGGGGGAGGGATTGTAAAATTTCGAGTACCCTAAACTTGGGTAATTAAACTCATGCCTTGCCAGCGTCGACAATGCATGCTCGTACAATGTACGGGCTGTTTTCGGTGTTCAACATGGGGGGTTCGGATTGTGGCCAAACGGGCCACAAATGAACACGTGATATCTGCGGATATTCTAGAAGTGGGCGGAGCATGGAATAGGGACCATTCGGTAGAGGTCTTCGTGCAAAAGTTACAAAAAGAGCCACTTCAAACAAGATTCTCAAGTAGTTTGAAAAAGAAAAGTCCATAACTGTTTGCCATGTTCAGCTCATTGCTTGTTACAAGGGACCGCCGCTAAGTCAGCATACTAGTGATAGCGTAGCAACAATTATGCGCGCTAAGACTTGCATGGTGGCGAGATAGATCCCGAATCCCGACCGGCGAAGTTTTGGAAATAGACCTAGCGAAGCTCGTTGTTTCCAGCGTGGTTGCCTCGCTCATACGTCGCTCGTTGTTCTGCATAACCGCGAGCAACTCATCACATTTGATTGCGAGATTTAGATAGATTACTACCGTCCCAGAACTCCTGGGTAGTAAGGATTGCATACAAGGCTACGTTCATACTTTGTGACAACGTTCACCAGGATCGCGAGGGCCACGAAAAGCTATTTATCTAGTATTCGCAATTTCACTAGCGTCCATCAGCAGCCGCGTAATAGAGTACGGGGGAGAAGAAGATAGGCAAAGGCTCGATGAAAGAGTCGTAAAATCTCAAAGTGTGTAATTGCAGCGTACTACTACACCGTACATCACATTGCATAATTCGGAATTACGTGCGGTGCGGCTGTGCACGCCGCTATTTCGCCACGCCTACTCGAGCCATTTGTCCGCTCCTACTCCCGCACACTCTTCATTCTCGGCTCTGTTGAACGCTAATGAAACGCAAGCAAACGATAGATGATGCCCATACATTCCTAGCCCTCGCGACGCTGGTGAACCCTGGCGAATGTTAGCGAAAGCCAAAAACTTTATTGAACGCTGGTCAACGCTGGCGACGCTCTCGACGCTAGATCGATTTCTATGCTTTCGTAGTCACCGACGCTGAGGGACGCTGGAACGGTGCCGAAAGCTAGCTACACTGCCGCAAAGCATGAACGCAGCTCAACTATGATGGCGCTAAATAACCCAACGCTGAAAAATGCGGAAAAATGACAAAAAAGTGTTGAATAAACCCGCCCCCCCCCCCCCCCCAAATAAGGAGCATTGCATGACTAACAGAGCGAGTAAGAAAGAGAACGGGTGGCGAGCAAGCCTGTACTGTTTTGTCATCTGCACGTTTGCAAAATAGGACCTGAGCGAATAAAGTTTGTGGCCCGCATTTCGTGCATTTTCGAGTCGCGAACTTCAGTAGGTTACCTACCTGCTCAGATGAAAACTTGGAATGGAATTGGAATTCTTTGCTAATCGCGAGGTGAGCGTGAAAGATTACAGACATGAAGGACCGATTTCCTATTTTGCTCCATTTAGGGAGCACTCGACCGCTTTGCGCAGTTCTTCCTGGCTCCGAAATTCACCGCTAGTATGACCGAAAGAGAGGTATGAATCATTGAATTCCTAAGAAATGTCTGTAGGACTCCCTCTATAGTCGATAATGTCGCAATCAGTCGGAGCGATGCCAGGAAGGGCGGAAAGAGCCCGCCACCGGTTGGCTTGTTCTGCCAGTGGTGATCGCTTAATGGCTGGTATGGAAAGGAAAATACAAATGGTGGGAACGCCCCTTAGAGCTTATACTACGCCTCGTGACACAGCCCCGGCCGACTGCGAGGATACAAGTGCACTATTTGGTCGAGCGTATCAACTACATCTATTAGTTCCGCATTCAGACGCGCTGACGCGCGACAGCGGAGTGTAGCTCGTTACAATTTGAAAATTACAGTAGATTTCCGTTTGCGGCTGTGTGCATCTGTAAGACGAGAGGGCATGCATGCGTCATCGCGTGGCCGCCGCCACGTTCAAACGAATGATGGGACTTTTGTTAGTGCTTTTATTTAGGTACGCGCTGTGGACTCAGAACATTCGCAACATCTCAACGACGACCTTTGGCGAGTAGATCAAGTGAAGCAGTAAGTCATGTAGCAGTACTCATAACAGTGTATCTCCCGAAGGGGAGTCCAAAATGGTCAAACGGAGGGTAGAGAGACAGCTGTACCGTTAAACGCGCAGTCATGCTGGTCGTGTGGACAGAGCTGCACGTGCCATTGTGCTTTTCATTGGCGCGGTCCTCCTCAAAACTAGGAACGCGTCAATGGTTAGACTGGCTATACCATCAGGGTAGAAGGCATAAGCTGCTTTCAGTTATCTCTCGAAGCCAGGTCACGATTACAAGAAATTTTCAACAGGAAATAAGGTTGGTCAGAAATAACTAACATGAGAAATAGGAACGTTTCAATTTCTTATCTCCCGTGCTCTCTTTCAGAAAACACTACTGGAGGATCCGCGGGAGAAAGGTGTTCAACCTCATGAGGCCTTGCTCAAATTTCACAAAGAGTGGTACAGTTCCAACATGTGTGTAATCTCATCTTGTCTTAATACTGACATATGAAACCAGATGAGGACACATTCTATGCTGGTGGTAAGGGCTTGCCCAGATCTACCACTGTACTCTGTTGATGTGTTTTCTCATTGATGCCCTCTCTTCATTGTCTTCGGAAGAGAGGGCATCAATGAGAAAAGCGCAGTGTTGGGTCTGATCCCGCTCATACGTCGCAATTATTTCTTTATTCTATAGGAGGTCATGCCAGCAGGCTTAGTCTCATGTTCAGTTTTTTATAGTATGTCGTTATGTATTGTTGACTCGAAACCACTGGATGTCATGGAGTCGACCCTGGCAGATTTGGACTTTGGAGCGATTGAAAACAAGGGTGTGGAACGAAAAGAGTGGGAAAGTCCATACGGCGAGGAGCAACTGCGTAAACGTATTGAGGTGCGTGAATTTCAACAATCTTGTTTTTGCCATGCTTTCGCTTCTACCTACTTTGAGCCCTATCGTTATTGTGTGGCTGCTTTCCTGGTACTCTAAACTTCGATAGATAAGTCCGCCATCAGGTAAGTCCGCGAGGCGATCGCCGCGAGCGCAATTTCCGGGTGGAACGAGAAAGGCTAAAAACCCGTTGTTCTCGTCAGAACAGCTGATTCCGATTGTCCATAAGATGTAAACAGAGAAACCACAAAAAGATGGATGATTGAGACAATGATGAGAGATTAGGTCAAAATGTTTAAGCAGGCAAGAAAAGTAGGTAGCTATGCGAGAAGAACGTTTGAAGATGGACGTCAGAGTTAAGTTGAAAAACGTGTCTTAGATAGGAATTCGTTGACAAAGGCTTCGCTTTCGTCAGAGCATGCAAATCAAGCGACACCCACGACCAGTTGTTCCTATTCTGGCAAGGATAAAAACAAATCAGACAGAGGTCAGCCAGCAAATCCAAGCAATAGTGAAGCTGGCTTATCTTGAGCTGGTGACCACGCCGCCTCAGAACTCAAAATGAGCTCTACCACCACTTCTCATTCAGTCACCGATCTGATGTTGATTATAAGCCGCAAAGGTTAGCAAATGATGCAAGTTCACGGACAAGGGCAACATGCTCCTCCTTCTTGTTCGTTTTTGGCCTTTCGACGTTATCCGAAACGCTTCTAAAGCCTTCCGCGCTGCCGTCTCAGCTTCCCTGCTCCGATCTCAGGCTCTTATCTCAGAATAGAGACACTTATGCCGAACGCAATATTTCCATGACATTATTCACGATAGATCCCAGCGGCGTATGGCTTGGTGTTCTTCCTAACCCATCCAGGTGCTCCTTGACCCGTATGCACACGGGTCAAGCTTTGCCCTACATATTCATTATCACAAGCCAGGCAGCGTATCGAGTGATTTACACCTGACTTTACAGTTGTTCGGAGATATCTATATCACCCTTCGTCCTCCTGCGAGCCGCACATCTCCAGACCTGCGCAAAATGGACGGGAAACAGAACAGTATTTTATCGGAGGTCGTTCTGTCGATACCCTATGTTGACGAAAGAGTCTCCATGTATTGGACGTACCCTGCTGCGATGTCACGGGCTATAGTGAGCGATGTCTTTCTAGTTGAAATTCAGAGGATTGCTGGCAGTCCTGAACATGCCGCAAACGCTTGCTTTGTTCTCATTGATGTGCCGAACTATAATGAATACGATAATGATATAATGAGTTAGCATGTTCTTGTTGTTCGGCTTGCGCTACCATTTTGTTCTGAACGTGTCTCTCAAATGGATGTGAATGTTGGGGAATGGATGCCAGTTCTCTATGGGCTTTTCCCTCGAGAACGTAGGTTGATCTCCGAAAGAGGAATTTAATGCTCTGTATACGACTTCTATTGTGTGTTTCTCTCTGTGATTCTCCTACAGTAAAGTGGCGCAAAATAAACGCGACTGATGAATGGTCCCATTTTTTTTATTAATTGAAAATTATTAACTCTTTCTCCAATGGGAAATTGTCTTGATACAAATCTGAATCAATTTCTTCCTCATGTTTATCTTCGAAACGGGAAACTGACAAGAGAACCCCAACAGGTGCCGGCCACTTGCATGAAGTGTATACAGGTGGGAGGGGGGGGGGCAAAAAAAGTCGCTTCGAAGCGGAAGATACCCAAGATGTTCCTCTATAAGCAGGAGCTGGCTCTCGCCCATCACCTTCATGTACACCAAAATATGAAGTCATCTCCAGTCGCAGCCTGACTGGAGAAGACCTTTGGAATTCACGTCACCTCCAAACAGCTGCGAAACTTCTAGTATGGAGTCACCCATGGATAGCTACCTGGAGACCAGTACTCTCGATCTGGAAGACCTCCATCATCGAGCAGCTCCGTCAATCGCTACGGTCTGTCACCTAAGGATAGCTACCTGGAAACCAGTACTCTCGATCTGGAAGACCTCCATCATCGAGCAGCTCCGACAACGTCGCTACTAGGACATCATCTTCACCACAGTCGCCAAGGCGCGGGTTGATGGTATGGACCGGACGTACCTGGAATGGGAAGACCAATATTTTCTTCGTGGACCCCGGACATAAGGTGAGCGCTGGCGGTTACATTGAGCAACTCGTGAAGAATATCCTCCTCACATGTCGTCGTCCTTCTTGGAAACTTTGTACTGCTACAGCATTGGGTGCCACCACATGGAATCGAAGGGCGTTGGAGAAACTCTCGCCTACTTGGAATGGAAGGGGGCTGAGTACCTAAAGAAGATGGAATATCCAAGTAGGTCACCTGACCTGAATCCCCTCAATTACCCGGTTCGGGCGGAGTTCAATAGGGTGGTCTACGGTGGCGGAGAAATCGACTATCTCGCTGATCTCAGGCACCACATCGCGGTCGCGTGCCAGAATCTCTCGATGGCGCTCGTCCAGAAGTCTGTGGCGGAGTGTCAGTCCGATGAGAATTCTTTATGTAATTTATAGCGTCTCGAATTTCTATGAAGAAAAGTAACTTTTTTTGCCCCCCCCCCTGTATGCAGGGGGGAGCAAGGAAAAACACTTTTCTTCACTGACTTTCGAGAGGCTACAAGCTACACTTTATCAAGTTCTGGTCGGACATTTCTACCACCATATTGAGTTTTTCCAACGCCCTTCGATTCCATGGTGGCACCCAATGCTGTAGCAGTACAAAGTTTCCAAGAAGGTACGGGCGACGACATGTGAGGAGGATATTCTCGAGTTGCTCGATGTAACCGCCAGCGCTCACCTTCAGTCCGGGGTCCACGAAGAAAATATTGGTCTTTCCATTCCAGGTACCTCCGGTCCATACCATCAACCCGCTCCTTGACGACTGCGGTGAAGATGATGTCCTAGACCGTAGCGACGTTGTCGGAGCTGCTCGATGTTGGAGGTCTTCCAGATCGAGAGTACTGGTCTCCAGGTAGCTATCCATGGGTGACTCCATACTAGAAGTTTCGCAGCTGTTTGGAGGTGACATGAATTCCAAAGGTCTTCTCCAGTCAGGCTGCGACTGGAGATGACTTCATATTTTGGTGTACATGAAGGTGATGGGCGAGAGCCAGCTCCTGCTTATAGAGGAACATCTTGATTTTTTGCCCTGGTACTCGTATCCACGTCCTCCTGGGCTGCGAAAACTTCGCTGATATGTGACTCGGTCAAAGCGTCTTTTTTTGCCTCCCCCCCCTTCTGTAGATGGACGTGTCGCGAGCAGGGTCAAGCATAAAGCGCGTCGCGGAAAGCTGAGGGGTTCGTACGACCCCTCTTTGATAGGGGTATCCGTACTACTATCGCCCCCCCCCCCAGTGAATGTGGTCTGTGTGGAGGTATCTGCGTGTTCATCAGTATGTAGCCGTGTATGTCGAGTGTTATGCGAATTTCGCCGAATGAATATCTGAGTATGTTGGAACGTTCACCAGACCAACTAAAAGCTGCAAACTGAAGAGATTAGTTCAGAAGAAGTAATGTAGTGCACAGAGTGCATCTCCGAAAACCTGACAACGACGTCTTCCAAATGAAACAATGCAAAGTTGAGAAGTTGGAAGCACTGCGGCTGCGCACATATTGAGATTAGAGCGCAATGGGCCCACACCCTTCACATAGTATTTTTCAAAATGGTATAACTTCATTCAGTAAAGTATTTTTCAAAATGGTGTAACTTCATTCAGTAATCATTGGCAGAGCGTAAAGACGATTCAGGTTGTATATCCAAGCTCTATATGAAATACGCTAGGTTTCATCAAGCTTGCATGATGGTTTCTGGCCTAAGGAAATAACGCGGAGAATTTTGAGCGAACGGGGCTGTTCGCCTTTCAATGGAATTAACTCCGTTTAGGCACAACATTTAAAGGACAACTGCGGCGCTTGCGATGCGCTACGTGGTACTCGACACTTGCGGTAACGGTGCGTGAACTACGCGGTAACTAAACAACATTTAACGGTGCGCCACACAGCATCAGGGGCTGGAAGATTTCCTCTTCCAAGAGTCGACAGCTCTGCTGTGGCTCGTATTTAGTGAAAATTCGCGCGCAAAATTTTATGCGAACTTGAGTTTTCCAACATTCCAAAGGGTGCGATGTCGTTAGGGTGTACTGCAGGACAGAGATCTACAAAGCTTAGGGAAGCAGAAACTTTCCTGTTTCTAATAGGCATAACAGTTCAGCTGTAGCTGAAGCTTAGCGGAAATTCTCCCGTCCCGGATTTCCATTTGAAGATCAGCTTCACATACAGCACGAGGATCCCACCCCTGCAACACCCCTGCAAAGCCCACATTTCCATCTAGAAAGCTCGTAGACATCCCGTAAAACGTATCCTCATGTAGTGAATAGAAACTGCATTAAGGCGCTGATCAGCACTCTCATAAAATGCGCCATACACTACACTCGAATCCCTTTCCGAACGCATCACTCATCGTGTAGGCTGCGCGCTGCTGTGTTCAGCTCTCTTCTCACAAACTGCCCTTATCTCGTGCTAATTTATTATTGGTGAATGCTTGACCCTGGTTATGTATGAGGGTAGTACTATTATATAGAGGGATATATATATATATATATATATATATATATATATATATATATATATATATATATATATATATATATATATATATATATATATATATATATATATATATATATATATATATATATATATATATATATATATATATATATATATATATATATATATATATATATATATATATATATAATATATATATATTATAATATAATATATATATTATATATACTAATAATTATATAAAGGCTACTGCTCAAGAGACCGAGGTCACTTGTTGTAAATCCTGCAAGTTTTTGCTTTTTTGAACATTCATGTGAGCCCTGAAACACTTCCGTTGTGCTGCTTCACCTCATTCTTTGGTTATTCGACATCAAGAAGAGGCGAATACCCCACCACTGTTTCCTCTTAAGACCATCTGTTATCCTGTTATTGAAGCTTGTGAGAAATGAAGGTCTTATGATTTGAAAGCACATGTGGTATTCTTTTACAGAAAGCGAGCGGAACTAGTTACCACACTAAGCAAGCAAGTACCCTCGCAGGCACACGGCACAGTTACAGTTCTCCACCAGTCCAGAGGGAAAGCAGTACCGAGGAGATGTTTCAAATTCAGCAGGATGTGCTCCACTATCCACCGAATTCCAAGGATAAGATAAGAAGTTTTGAATCAGTGAGCAGAATTGAAAACGATCAAAGGTGGAAGAAAAGAAAAGAAGAAAGAGAAAAGAAAATAGAGGGCCCTTGATGTATAGAAGTATTATATTATGGGCCATCACATAATATGTGAAACGTATGAACGTAGCTTCGACGTAAAAGATACCAAAGTATAAAGTCCCGCAGTATGATGAGAATCATGTCCTTCATGCAAGCTCGCAATATCGAATCCTGAGAAGAAGTCCTCAAAAGAATGCAACAATAGGGTGTCCCTTCTCGTGATGTCAAAAAATTAAAAAAAAAACTACTGGGTTGGCCTATGAGTAATGACGTCTTCTTGTCACACAAATTTTTATATGTAAAATGACAGTTGTTCCCAACATCTTTGACACTGTTCGATAGATAATTTTTTGCATCAGAAGATACTATAATTGCCTTCTTCTTGATTTGTGTCGGTTTTTATTTCACTGAAAGGAAAAGCGGGCGACCCCTAAAGTGAGTTTTCGACAATTACTTTTTGAATTTTGTCTCGACTTTCAATCTGCAGAAGAAGCACAAACCCCGTGGAACATATGAACAAAGAAAGATGCGTCTTGTGATAGCTTGAAGTTGGTTCAAGTGATCATAGGGGGGAAAATTCGGACCTTGAGAAATGGCACTCGCCTGGGGAGGGCCCCTCATGGGACGTGACTTCGCCTCTGATTCGCAGAATCTTACGCCACATATTTTCGAACCTTAACATCTACCTGAGGGGCGTGGTGATGAATATAAAAGCACTCTATAAAACTTAACGATCGCCCAAATTTGCCATGATTTCAGTTAACCAATTAATTCCGTATCTCTCAGTTCGACATATTAGGCATATTCGATGTTTCTATGACGTCGAACTGAAAATCTGTGCGAGAGTCGCTTGTAAGGTGGGGGAGGTAGGTATTCCTATGAGACATAGCCTTTTAGCCATATGCTTAACAGCTGGGCCCATGCTGCTTTAGCTTTCTAATTAGAATGTAAAAGTGAAGTGGGAAAAGAAACTTGTAGAAGGGAAAAAAGCCATTACTTATGAGCCAACTCAATAGGTAAATTAGCTGAACAGAAACAATCTGCGACTCATATAAAGCGTTCAACACGAAAGCAAAAAGTTGCAAGAGTCAAGGGTTCAACATGTGTCTTCTTGCTTCTGAAGCACTACGCTTATCCACCTCACCTTCAGTCCCTTACCACAATCAGTAATCGTTCCGAACTTGTGCAGACACAGCAGAGAACGAATGGTCTGTAACTGCATCCAGAGAATCGTTCTGCAAATCCCGAGGGCATATTGAACTCAGCGGCTCAAGACACATCCATCTATATGAATCTTACTGCAAATGGGCTTGACCTGTTGGGGTTCTGTGTAGGACTGAACAGAGCGGAGTCGCTCGTTGAACTTTCGTCTTGAGGAGCTTCGTGATGTTGTCTGCTCCAAACTTCTGCTATCTAACCCCCAAATGAAGTGATAACATGTATTACAACTGCTGCCTCAGAGATGTTTTTTTAATTGATAACGATTGAAACTTATAATGTGCCGTCAAGTACTCGCAGGCGTGATGACCGCGACGTCGTGCGGACTTACCTAGCGGACTTATCCACCGGACTATTACTTTAGGGTAGTATCCCACCGTAACAATTCTAGAGACAATAGTTAAATAATAAGTGAGTAAATTTCAAACAGCTATCTTTATGTTTCTTTTTGAAATGAGTACGAGGCAGCCAGTAAATATGCTAGTATGTATATGCATATAATGGCACATTAAAGACAGCTCCCGCGCTCGAGTAGTACATGGTCGTCCTTCCTTGTGCAAGTAGTACAGCCCCCAAGCTAGAGACTGTCCCACTCTCGCGACTCCACAGCGAGCGAGGAGCGAGCTACAGCTGCTGAAAGTTCTAGTTCTAACGCCCGCCCAGTTGGACCGCCCACTTGCTAGATGCCCTCTGACGGAGAGCCGCTCAGTTGTTCTTTGTTGGGGCGGCAGAGATGGTTCTGCTCTCCTTTATTACATTTTAGTTATTAGCAGCATACAATCAACCCATGTTGCAAGGTGAAATGCGTAAGAACTACGAGCGACCCAATTTTCGTGGTGCAAAAGCTCGACGCACCACACTACACTAAAAGATGCACGCTACCGTAACCCTAAATTCAGACGCCTAGTTTTTGAAAGTTTCTTTTCCTTTTCAAGAGTTTTTCTTCCGTGTTTTTGTTGTTTTTCGTATTCTTTTCATTGCATTGGATGATACCCACTACTGGGAGATGTGATAAAGGAAATTGTGAGTCAGGGGTTGCACAGAGACCGCAGGGCGGTGTCAAGCGATTTTGCTTATGGTGCTTCTTGAGGACTCTTCTTGCTTTTTTTCTTCTTTGGGAAATTACTTATCAGCTACTGTTTCATAATTGAAAAGCAACTATCCATGACACTTTTATCGCGGGAGCTGTCTTTAATGGCAGAGGTATCTCGAGAGTTGGCTCGAAAGCACTCCACGCTGATCCTTAGGCGGACACATCTGTTCATTGTCCTTTACTGTTAGATGGTCTCCCTTCCAATACAGTGAAAAGGAGAGCGAACCAACGATAAAGGCACCGCAGCCCTATGTTCTCATCCATACAATTATCGTCTACTTTGCCTTCGATCCCATATAGTGCTCTTTCACGGATCAACGACAGATATTGACATTTATTCCTCTAACAGATCGTACCTGTCGAAGATGTTCGGACGCTAATAATGTGCTTTCCGATTCCCGACCTACAGGATGAGTATAAGTCGTACCCTGCGGGATACATTTGTAAGTTAATATATATTAGTTTCGACATCTTGGTAATGCTTGTTTTCTGGTAATCTGTATTTTATCGCCAACTTGTAATTGATCAGCTGAAGAGCTCACTACGCATGATGATGGGAATCTCTTCTCAAATTATCAACTTGCACTATTCAGTTATGCAATAGTTCGTCGGAATCCTGCAAATAGGACATACCGTGCGTTAACCATTGGTTGGTAAAAAGGTAATATAGTCTTATTCGCTGTGGATACTGAGACCTTTCAAGGACTGGGTTCGGTGTGACACCTACAAGTTTCCCACCAACTGCTCAGGGGAGATAAGCGACAGTAACTGGTGAAGAACCGTTGAGGCGGCCTCCTGATACGTCCCATTATCCTCTGCGAACAAGACGTTATCTGGTTGTGAGAAAGCGCTCCTGCATCACCATTCACACTCCCTTTTCTCCACATCGATCTCATTGGTCGATGAGATCGAAAGGAGAAAAGTACGCAAATAATCGAAACCCCAACACTACGTGGCAATGGTAAGATGAATCAATGAAGCTGGGTGGCGATTGCTAAGGCGAAGACTGCTTACCGTGGCAGAACATCTTATCGAGCTCACTCACGACTCCTTTGAAATCCCTGCCCTTTGACTCCTGAAAGGGGAAATCATCTAAGGTCGCCGAGCGAGCCATTTTGTATAAGAAAGGTCTTCTGCACGTCGGCTAAGTGGAGTCTGTCTTTAAAGGCAAAGGTCCAGCTATCATTCGCCATCACAGGGACTAGGGTTTGCATATAGATGAGAAGGTTCTGATTCACTCGATAATGAAGAAAAAAGACAAAAAAAGATGTCAATTGCACTGAATAGAACTCCATTCCGATCCCAGTTACGTGCCCATTTCGCTCCTCCTCCAACACCGCGCCCTCATCCGCCCAGCTGGACACCCAATAAGAACCCTAAACCGTACGCGTTACGATCTTCAGGCTTTTTAGTCCTGCAGCTTCGTTTTTCGTTTTTCAATGAAAGGCGGGCCTTGGGGCAGAGTCTGGGGCGGAGTTAATGGAGAAAAGGAGGCGTCACTGAACCGTTATCGTGTTGTAGCGCCCTTCCCTTACAATTTTTTTGCCGCGAAACCGGTACAAGGCTACGCCGCGGACCACACTACCCTCCCGACGCTATATTTTGCACTTCAATGCGTTATCGCGGTCTGTGCCTTTGAAACTGCAAAAACGGTCGTGATAAACTCCTTGATAATGATGGTGTTAAGTCTTCCTTGCATCCCTGTACATTTTGCTTGGCTCTCTGCACCGTGTGAATTTTGTTGAGGAAAGGGGTACAGTATCAAAATTGTTTGATTGTTCCACGAATTTTACAGTTCATCTGATCGGTCGTGAAGGAGAAGGTTCTTTGTTGTCAGAATTGAAGCGACGAGGATGGGGAACACTTTGGTTGCGACTGAAACAATTTTCGCAAAAGGAGTCAGCCTTTTCCAAATAGAAGTCAATCTCAGTGATGGTGAGTGGTCCAGATTTTCCTGAGAATCTCCACATCTTGACGCTGTTCATTCTTTACTGCTCCTCTCATCGAAATTGAGGTCAGATTCTGGTTGGAAACCTTTTCCCGGGGGGGGGAGCTGGGTAGCAACACGGTTTCTGGGGTAGCCTGTTTTCGTGGGCAGGAACATTATATCCGCTTATCCCAAAATCTCCTGATGCCATGTGAAAACTGCCGGCGGGATAGTTTGATTCTCTCAACTCGGTTATTATAATTGTTTGGTGCGAAACACCTGGTACGAAACAGTGGCGATCTAACAGAATAGGATTTTTTAAGCGGAGCGACTATGCAGACGAAAAGGAGAGCAGATCATAGCAGAAAAGTGACTACCACAAAAGGAAAAGTTTTGACAGAACGGTCCTTTAAACCTTGAAGAGTGTGGCAGTGAAGAGGTGATCGCTTTTTTTTTTGAAGTGAAGTTGACGCCACACGTTGAAGGCGGCGTTTGTATTCCCCTCACAATCAGTTTTTTTTTTTTTTCAGATGGTCTCAATCATGTTGAGGAAGTAATTAGCCTAGTTTTCAACCGCATTGGGCTACTCAGACGTAGTGGAGCAATTGCTTGGATTTATGAGGAACTTCGAAAAATAGACGAAATCAATTTTCGCTTTATGGTTCGTCGAATGAGCGTTCAAGGACACTTGACCGGTCACTTCCTATTCAGTTTAGGAGAAAGTCGATCCAGTAGCTGCGGTCATCGCATATTCTTCTAATTTGCAGCGTATTCCTTTTCGAGACATTCTGTCGTGGAATCTTCTTTGGACGGAGTACAAACCTGGTACTGCACAACTTCAATGAAGTAGTAGGATTTCACTTCTGAACGCCAGCACGTTCTGCATGCTATGAATTGAACGTACATTCTGAGGGCACTGTTCGCGCTGGTTGTGTGTGTGTGTGTGTGTGCATGTGCGTGTGTTGTGTGTGTGTGTGTGTTGGAACCTGAACTACACTCTCTCCTGCCTGCATTGTATACCTTTACCTTTATGATTTAGCAAGAAATAGAGCCAGTAAACAGGCCTCAGTTTTGCAGTCTGCTCCTTTCACAGCAGTCAGATAGACCATATTTTTCAAGCGACAACGGATTTCAGATCGAATTATGGAAATCATCAAGATGTTGTCTCCGAAGAACATGTTCTACATTGTAATTGCAAGGAAGTACAGCGGTCAGGAGGGCAATATTCACGAGCCGATTTTTGGGACAGAAATGAGAATCGTAAATATAGAGGGGGTGAGTTTTTCGTGAAAGAGCGTACATTCACGGAGTCTGAAGTTGGTAAACAAACGCAGCGGGAGGAAGCCGGCCTGCTGTCCTGTATTCTGTAAGAAGGGATTCATACAAGTGTGAAGGACTATCGACTGTGTCGACACTGTAGCGATTTCTATAGAACGGTACTAAGGTAATATGAACAGTTTAAGTTGCTTGAAAACGCCCTTAGAGCGCGTTCAGACTTCGCGATCGCGCGATCCGGATCGCGCGATCGCGAAGTCTGAAAGCGTTTTTATGCTTGTCGGCTCCGGGATAAGCAACAAAAGCCCGGCACCTGGTAGAATAAAGGGAGGCTCTGGATGCATAATTGATCTGAAAAAGTTTTGTTCAGCTATCGTGGATTGTAAATCCATCCTGATGACCATCTCCTCTCAGTGTGTTCTCCTCCTTCTGTATTCAGCGAACTCTATCTAGACACTGGCTTGTTGAGTTCAAAACAAACTGCGCACTTATCTCAGTGGATCTTCGTTATTTTCATATGTGAGGCGAATGTTTCACAGTACAATACTGTGCCACTTTCTCTAGACAAAAATGCATGCGAACGACTGAGGTAGTAATACGCGGAGGCATTTCCAGCCATACGCCAAACCGTAGCCAAACGCGCTGATTGTCTGCCGCTTTACATAGGGTTGTTCTCTATTACTGGCGTGCGTATTATCCCTGACAGGATCTTGGTATCGGAGGCAGAGCCCTACGCAATGAGGAGGTGGTGGGCGGAGTATGGAGACGGCACTCACGTATCACGTACCCTCCGAGCTCATTCTCGTGCACTGTTGAGTGAAGAGAAAGTCATGCCAGTGCAGTTGCTGATTCATTTACCTCCCACATGGGAAAGACCGCTTTGGAGGTTAGTGAGTGTTGAAATAAAACCAGTCTTCCAAGTCAGTGTTGACTTCCGCGTACTCGTCCTCGTAGTACGCAGCACTGCAATCTGGACTCATAGTCGCTGTGCTATGCTTCCGAGAAAAGCTGTTTTTTCTGTGGAAACCACTGGTGCCGCGCATAACGTTATATTTAAATGACTTGGTGTTGAAACTAAGAGCTTGCTGGAAACTCAAGGATGGTATTGAAGGAAACAATGAAGCAGTTCGAAACCGCTCTAGAAACGGAGAATCCTGCTCTGCGGCTACCGCTGAAGAACGACTACATTGCTTCGAAATTCGATCTCAAACCACGAGAAACAATCAAACGGTGAGCATTTTTATACACGACCTTTTTCTGTTTCCACAGCTGCAGTCTTTACTCTGCAGACAGGGGTGCGTCAGGGTTACTGGTTGCTTGGCGCAGTGCAAGCCCGTTTTCCACAACAGGCGACAACAATTGGTGGCAGATGGGCTGGCGATCTGAAACCAGGTAAATGAGCCGACATGTTATCGGCTCATATACCGGCTAGAAAGGAGATTCAGAGGTATATTCCGCATCTATAGTGAGGGCGGAATCGGGCGTACCATTGTGGTTTTCTCATTGGTGCGTCCGTGCTTTTACTATCTTAAATTGTGTGGCGCACCACTGAATAGGAAGCAATTCCGCGCAGGAGCTTCGTTCCAAGTGTCTGCGTGGAATGAGCCATTGGAGACAAATAAACATTATTGAAGAGAAATGCTAATGATAGGGAACATCCTCGCGTCATACAAGACGATGCATGGTGTCGAATTTGGTTCAAGCAAGACGACGAGTATAAACGCCCGGTAGCTGTGACTAGGGTGAGAATTCATCATCATCCCAATCTAAATGACCTTCATAACGCGTTCCGTTGCAGGTCGCACTCATCTCTCCAGTGGTGTCAAAGTCCCCAAAAGCACTAATGCTCTTTAAAATGTTCTTAGCGTGTTTGCAAGTGAGTTTCTCCACGGTTTTTCTAATCCTGACAAATGATTTGACATTTCAGGACGCTTTGATGGAAGATATTTCGAATGCGGATCTGGCTGGTGTCTACTGCAACATAAGTGACGAAGATTTCGGGCTTCTACTGGAAGTGAGTAGTAGTTATTACATCGAAAGGAAAGCTGTGGCATATTTTCTGTACTTGAAGAACTTGTCCTTAATCTGAAAGGGGGCCGATACCGTGAGCAACAATCCAAGGTGTTTCTCTTCCTGTAGTACAAGTGCCTCTCACTTGTTTTCTACTTGTTTTGCAATATAGACGACAAACATTTTCCTACCAACCTTATACGGCTTTGTTCCCTGCTTATGCGAGGCGCTTTTCGGAGGGACTCAGTGCTCTTACATTACTATATTGACCATTGCCAGAAAGCATGAAAATATAGCAGAGAGCATGAAAACAATGCATACAACCACCTTGCAAAGCTTGCGGTCATTATCCCTGCAAACGAGGGGGCGTGCACTGGAGCTCAGCTGAGAGTTACTTATTATTCATTGAAAAGAGGGGCGTGGATGGGGGGGGGTGGGGTCTTTCCCACCATTGACGCCATCCTGAGCCAGCAACAATTGGTGGAAAAGGCTACCACAATTCCCCCCCTCCTACCCCTCCCTCCCAGTCCATGCCCTCCCCTTTCCACGAACAATGATTGTAAATATACCATTAAGGTGGGTGGTTACGACGAGAAAACAACCGCAACTTGTTGAGCAAGTTATCAAGCGAATGATTGGATTCAAACCGGGTAAGTTACTTGGAAACCCCTTTGACAAGATCGATTATTACTTGCCAATGCTTCTAAGCGTGCAAATAATCTGCCAAAAAGGTGTTAATAAATGGATGCACTCCCAGACCCTCGCTTACAGATCCTCTCCGTTTCGATGCCTTATTTGACGAAGTAAAGCGTTGGCTTAAGAACTCTGCGCTCGCGGAGCCTATTTCGCTATCAGATTACTATATTCTGCAGCTACTAAAAGATCGGTGCTGGACCAACAAGCAGCTGCTCGCCGTATGCGAAGGAAAGCATATTTCATTGAAATTTCGGAAATTGTTAGACGAAGTCAATGACATGGTTTGACTGATTTTAGATCTCAAGCTACACGAAGTCGAGGCATTCGGGAAAGAGATGCTAGGCGTTTTCTTTGTAGAATTTTTCGTACACGGCAACGTAACAGAACAAGTACGTTCCTTTTTCCATTGTGTCACGGTGATTTATATAAAGTTATATTCATTTATATTCAACTGAGTTTGTATTTATTATCGAACTTACTCTCGAATCGGTTCATTTGTTTCCTGGAGTATAAGAACACCAATGAACAGGGTGCACATTTTCGCGTATTTTTGTTCGTTCTCTACCAACTTTTCGCGAACGTTGTCGCTAGCGACTACAAAATGTGCCAAATATCCGAAAAGGTGTTCAATTTATGGAAGTCCAATTCCGGGCCGTCTCCGCTTAGGCTAACCAAGCCTTCTGCTCTTCGATAGCGGTAATTTGGTATAATATACGTCTCGTAGGAAATACAGACTTGCACATCAGCTGGCCACCAACAACGAAGGCTTTGCCCTTTATCTACCCTTTCGATCTAGCTAGGTCTATTCAAAGTTCCATGGTATGTTGGCGGACCTCCCCGGTTAGGGGTCGACCAACATTTTGCGCCATATAACGGCACGTATATCATGGTCAAATGAAACACGCTGTTGAAGTTCTTTCAAAAGCGGACATGCTGCTCTTCTGCGTCTGCTGAGTTTGCCGGCTTTGCCCTCTGCAAAACTGAGCTAATGTCCTTCGATCCTTATCCGCGCTTCTGCAAAACTGACTGCGCATACATTTTGTCTTGAACAAATTTATCACAAAACCGATCTCCTTGGACTTGTGCTCTATGTCCATCAGCTTACTCTGATGTTCGAGTGCATTATGTGTAAGAATAACACGGTCGTCAGTGAAAAGCAAGTGTATTAAGCGATCACCGTCGATAGCGATGCTGTCACTCCATTTGAGATTACTGAAAGGAGCCTCAAGCGCTACTGCGAATAACTTCGGTTAAGTCTTCTCGCCTAGGCGAAGGCCTTTGCCGATTTCAATACGACAAGGTTCGCTTTGTCCTCAATAGAACTAAGCTGATGTTCCAAGTAAACATAATTGTTGACTTCTTCGATTGTTTCGCCTTCGATGTTTATCCGTGGCTTCTGGAGTGGACTGGTTGCGCATCCTTTTCGTCTTGGACAAATTTAACACAAGACCGACAAAATAACGGAATACCAGCTAGATCGCTCAGCTCTCTCAGGGTGCTCCTACTTCTATGCCACAGCCCGGCTTTACAGGGACGTCCTGCCTTCGCCCGGCACACTTACTTTAGGCGAGGTGGAGCGGGTAGAATGCGTCCAATGGTCGCAGGGGTGTCCAATGGTCAGCGCGTTTTCCTGAGAAAAATGTAGAAAAATAAATTGTAAACAACTCATTTCGGTCATCACTTATCACATCTGGGACGGTAGTAATTTGTCTAAATCTCGCAATCAAATGTGATGAGTTGCTCGCAGTGCAGAACAACGAGCGATGTATGAGCGAGGCAACCACGCTGGAAACAACGAGCTTCGCTAGGCTATTTGCAAAACTTCGCTCAGCGGTCGGTATCGATCTCATCACCATGCGAGTGGTAGCGCGCACAATTGTCGCTACGCTAATCATTAGTATGCCGACTTAGCGGCGGTCCCTGGTAACAAGCAATGAACTGAACATGGCAAACACTTATGTTTTCAGTCAAATTAGTTAGTCAAATTTTCATTTTTTTTATTCTCACCTCCATCCCCCTAGTCGATTAGGGTAATCGGCTACATCATTTCATATTCTAATGGCACATCTTTATATGATATTTGCATTTTTTTCTAATCACCCCTTGTACCCGTTTTACTAGAAAATATTTCACTTTTTTCAAAGTTTCTCTTCAACTGTGCAATGGATGGCCACGCCCTCCCCACAT